GTATTTATTTACAGGGATTCTGTTGTTTTTGTGAAGACACTAAACAACTTATCAACTCTAAGTATCATATCAGAGGTGGCCAAGACTGTTCTGTTGTAGATGTACCAGACTATATTACAAACAAATCCATGTACCATGCAAGTACACACTGTCTTAAGTCTGATAATCTTTGGTATGTTTAAAATTTGAATCCATCAATTTTGAGTTAGAAAAGTATGCACAACGGCAACCATATCAACATATCAGCAAAGATCAGTGTGACCCTGAGTGCATACTTTACAAAATTCTTATGATAACCTTATTCATATACATTTTTTCTCTGATTATAGTAATAATTTAATGAAAAATAACAGCCAAACATTTTTGCACAGTGTTCAGTGACGAGTTTCTATTAAGCGCTGTATCACTTTTGTTCAATGCAAACAAATGAAACTGTTGGAATGTGACATTAGTAACATGAACTATTTTCAATGTTGGTGACATCAGTAAATTGAACTGTATTCAATGTTGGTAACATATCAGTATCAGTAACATGAACTGTGTTCAATGATGGTAACATATCAGTAACATGAACTATGTTCAATGTTTGTAACATCAGTAACATGAACTGTATTCAATGTTGGTGACATCAGTAACATGAACTGTATTCAATGTTGGTAACATATCAGTATCAGTAACATGAACTGTGTTCAATGATGGTAATATATCAGTAACATGAACTATGTTCAGTATTTGTAACATCAATAACATGAACTGTATCCAATGTTGGTGACATCAGTAACATGAACTGTATTCAATGTTGGTAACATATCAGTAACATGAACTGTATTCAATGTTGGTAACATATCAGTATCAGTAACATGAACTGTATTCAATGATGGTAACATATCAGTAACATGAACTATGTTCAATGATTGTAACATCAGTAACATGAACTGTATTCAATGATGGTAACATATCAGTAACATGAACTATGTTCAATGTTTGTGACATCAGTAACATGAACTGTATTCAATGTTGGTAACATCAGTAACATGAACTGTATTCAATGTTGGTGACATATCAGTATCAGTAACATGAACTGTGTTCAATGATGGTAACATCAGTAACATGAACTATGTTCAATGTTGGTGACATCAGTAACATGAACTGTATTCAATGTTGGTGACATCAGTAACATTAAGGATGTTCAATGTTGGTGACATTAGTAACATGAACTGTATTCAATGTTGGTGACATCAGTAACATGAACTGTATCCAATGTTGGTGACATCAGTAACATTAAGTATGTTCAATGTTGGTGACATCAGTAACATGAACTGTATCCAATGTTGGTGACATCAGTAACATTATCTATGTTCAATGTTGGTGACATCAGTAACATGAACTGTATTCAATGTTGGTGACATCAGTAACATTAAGTATGTTCAATGTTGGTGACATCAGTAACATGAACTGTATTCAATGTTGGTGACATCAGTAACATTAAGTATGTTCAATGTTGGTGACATCAGTAACATGAACTGTATTCAATGATGGTAACATATCAGTAACATGAACTATGTTCAATGATTGTAACATCAGTAACATGAACTGTATTCAATGATGGTAACATATCAGTAACATGAACTATGTTCAATGTTTGTGACATCAGTAACATGAACTGTATTCAATGTTGGTGACATCAGTAACATGAACTGTATTCAATGTTGGTGACATATCAGTATCAGTAACATGAACTGTGTTCAATGATGGTAACATCAGTAACATGAACTATGTTTAATGTTGGTGACATCAGTAACATGAACTGTATTCAATGTTGGTGACATCAGTAACATTAAGTATGTTCAATGTTGGTGACATCAGTAACATGAACTGTATTCAATGTTGGTGACATCAGTAACATGAACTGTATCCAATGTTGGTGACATCAGCAACATTAAGTATGTTCAATGTTGGTGACATCAGTAACATGAACTGTATTCAATGTTGGTGACATCAGTAACGTTAAGTATGTTCAATGTTGGTGACATCAGTAACATGAACTGTATTCAATGTTGGTGACATCAGTAACATTAAGGATGTTCAATGTTGGTGACATCAGTAACATGAACTGTATTCAATGTTGGTGACATCAGTAACATTAAGTATGTTCAATGTTGGTGACATCAGTAACATTAAGTATGTTCAATGTTGGTGACATCAGTAACATGAACTGTATTCAATGTTGATGACATCAGTAACATTAAGTATGTTCAATGTTGGTGACATCAGTAACATGAACTGTATCCAATGTTGGTGACATCAGTAACATTATCTATGTTCAATGTTGGTGACATCAGTAACATGAACTGTATTCAATGTTGGTGACATCAGTAACATTAAGTTTGTTCAATGTTGGTGACATCAGTAACATGAACTGTATTCAATGTTGGTGACATCAGTAACATTAAGTATGTTCAATGTTGGTGACATCAGTAACATTAACTGTATTCAATGTTGATAACATCAGTAACATTAAGTATGTTCAATGTTGGTGACATCAGTAACATGAACTGTATTCAATGTTGGTGACATCAGTAACATTAAGTATGTTCAATGTTGGTGACATCAGTAACATGAACTGTATTCAATGTTGGTGACATCAGTAACATTAAGTATGTTCAATGTTAGTAACATATAACAGCTTTTTCATAGAACGGTGAATTCTATTCGTTTCGGTGCTTGATGTGTAATAAAAAATAACTGATATTACTGTATTACCATTCAACTGTAAGTTGATAGGAGAGAATACAGTGCATTTGGTTGCACATAATAAATGCACCAATACAACGTCTATTCATCAGTGGCATGCATAGTCTTAATATCCAGGTTCCTGTTATTCATTTATCAAGACTTTATACTACTACATTAACCACTGTGCAAACAGGTAGAAAATAACATATAAAAAGCCTTGAAAAAAAATTATAGATATGTACATGTATTGTACTGTAATATAAATTTATTAAAGGTGTTAAAGGTCAGTTTCGAAAATGACATGTACCCGAATGTGAAATTAATTAGCCCAAATTGGTGACTTAGTGGCTAAGTGACTAAGTGTGTCTATTTCTGTTTATATTTGAAGGTATCAAGTTTACAGTATAGATCTTCCTGTTGTAGAACACAAGGCATTAGTTACTATTGACACTATGAATGCAAACATTGACTTAAATGGAGTAGTTGATGTGAAAGATGTCCTCACTACGATATTGATTGGCACAGCGTCCAAGATGCACAATAATGAGGTATTTTATTTGAGTTAGGGCTGAATTGTATGTCTACACTAAAAATAAATATGTTTTCCAAGAAGTAATACAGCGAATTTTGCAGTGTGGGCAAAGATCGATATTGCCTAATATGGGCATTGAAAGATATTAAAGTCATTCATGGGTATTTCAACCCATTAAATAGAGTAAAAATTGTATCACAATTTTTGTTTTAACAGTGCTACTAAATAATTTATTTGTCCCTGTTTGGACGAAGTCGAAAACGGGGACTTATGTTTTGACCTTTGTGCATCTGTGTGTCTGGACCTGTATCTTAGACATGACTGGACCAATCACAATCAAACTTCACACATACATCATACATAATATTATACATGTGGACATCAATTTGTTTCACGATCTGATTCAAGATGGCCGAAAGGTGGCCATTTTTGTGTTAAAAAAATCAATCATTTATGGATGGATTTTGTTTGAACTTGGTACATATGTTGGACATTATGGGACCTTGATGAACATTTTTTTATTTTTCAGATCCAATTTAAAATGCCGACTGGCGTTTATGGATTTTGTTCAAACTTGGTTCATACATTAGAGATTATGGGTTCCTGATACACGTTGTTTTATTTTTCAGATCGGATTCAAAATGACTGTTTGGTGGCCATTTTGTTTAAATGAATGCACTTCTAGAGCCATATCTCTGATATGCTTTGACTGATTATGTTCAAATTTTATATATTCGTTTTACATCATGTCATAGATATATAGATGTATTCAAAATGGCTGACTGGTGGCTATTTTGTTTTAATTAATGCTGTTCCAGATCAATATTTCTCAATATGGACAAGTACTCGTTTGACGATCAGATACAAGATGTCAATCATTTCAATGTTAAAAAATCATCATAATCAAGCATCATCAAAACTATATATTTTAAATCTGATAACTAACAGGGACTGTGTCATGCATGGCTTGTTTTGAAGTGTTTTACCTGGCACAAATCATGGTTATTGAAAAAATCATGTAATAAAATGCCAAAAATCTGCATTTTTAGGACAATTTCCATAGAAATCCATGTAAAAATATTATTTCATGAAAAATAAATACTATTTCCCAGAATCTTCTATTAATTCATGACAAAAAAATTACCAATCTTGTAACACAATATTGTTTTTCATTATATGTCAAGGAATGATATTTTTAGATATGACGATTTTCTTTTCCCAATAGAAACCAACGTTCAAATATCGCCGTTGTCATAGTTTTTAACCATTATTTTATATGACTTTTGTGAATAACAACATAAAATATAAAGTGAAAATCATGGAAATCTAAATATCTGTTCTAATGCCCGCAAACGACATTAAAAATGATTGATCAACAAAGGCATGTTTTTTATGCCCTGTATGGCTATTTGCTTATGTCTAGGTATACTGCCCTCTGTAGTTGGTTTGTTTCACATTCATTTTTTTTTTCTTTTTAAAGGTTGTTATCAGCTATTCCAGCAACTTTGATCATGTGTTGGATAATCCATTTGCAGATAAATATATTCTAGCAGCTGATCCCCATTATCCTGTTGAAAATGGCGATCCACAAACTAAAGTAAGCCAGTTACAAAAGACAGTTACTTACCGGTAGTTAACATATGACAAAACTGCTACCGTAAAAGTCCCAATATAAACCGCGGTTTATATTACAATGTATAAATTTAAAAATTGGGATCAAAAGCTAAAGTTTGGGATGCGGTTTCTATTACGTACATATTGCAATCGCTAAATGGGCATGGTCATATTTTCCCACAACACATGTACAAAACAAACAATACACCATACAATCTCTTGAATATAGGTGTCACTCTAATTTAGGCGTCAGGGAAGAGTGAAAGGCCCTACTAAAATAGGCGTCACAAAATGTTGAAAAATTACAGTCAATCAACAAAATTTTTTACATGATTACTCAGTATATTCAATCTAATATGCATTTATTAACAGAAAGTATATTCTAACAGAAGTTTAAAATAAAAACAAACGTGGATGCATTGCTTAGTAGTAAATGATTACGGTACGGTAGCGCAATCAGGCCATGCTGCAGTTCATAAGTTACTTGTTTTCAAAGTGTTGAAATTGTTTATTATTACTTAGTAGTGATTATAATAACACACGAAAAATAAATTTGTTAAATTGTTATGAAATGCAAGTAAAATTTAACTTAGTTTAATTGTAAGCGAATGATTTCAGTCACATGTAAACGCTCGATGCGATACGATATCCGCCATGTATTTTGAATGTACACAAGACTGTTTAGATAGGTCAAGTCGCTAATTAATCAATCAAAATGCTGGATGGTGTCAACATGTTCAAATTACCATAGCCTATTTAAATATGTTAATGACAGTTCAGCGACCTCATGGTGAACACAACACGGAAGAGATTTACCGATAATGTAGTGCGATCTTTTGGCTTTGATTTCCATGGGAAATGACATGTTTGTTTTTTTAAATCAAAAAATTAATTGTTTTCAAAAGATAAACTCAGCATTAAAGAAGTATTTAACACTTTTACGTTGATAACAGCTCATTGTGGAAAACTTCTGAAACACGAACATATTCATAAGGATTATTGATAAAGGTTACCGACAGAACAAAAGCAGTTTCACTGCATGGCTGACATCTGACCACTGAACAATAAATACAATGTATGTGTGAATATTTTTAGAAGCATTGTTGAAACAAGTGAATAGGATTAGGAACAACGCCAGTCACGGTCTTTTTGAATTGGTGGTTCGGTTACTAATAGGTACTTTTCATGTTTTCATGAACTCTTTAACCCCAAAGCCGGAATTGGGGTGCGGTTATTATTACGTATGCGGTTTATATTAGGATTTTAACAATACTAAAGATTAGGTGGTCTTGATAAGAATGTCAAATTCTTTTTTTGTATAAATAAGAAACATTTTATGGAAGATTCTGTCAGATGTGTTGATGCCAGTACATACTGACAACACCTCTGCTATGAATGCCGATTGAAGCTTAAATTTATTGCCATATTAAGATGTACGTTGCATGTACATATCTACATATTATATGAGCAACAAGTTGTTATTTATATAATGACAGTCATTATATCATGTTGAATATGGGTCCAACACGACACATACAGTGTAAAAAACGCTATTCTGTTACATCTTTCAGCTTGGAGCTTATGAATATTTAGTAGTTGATAAATCACACATTACTTTTAATGGTAGTGAGTGTAATAAAGTGGGCGTGTCCTACCCAGCATTCATGAATAAAGACAATGCATGTGGTGAACGTTTGATGAGTTGTCTGGATAACCAGCCATATCATTTATGGTTTTATGACACTGTAAGTATGGACACAATGTTTACTATGTCGTATTTAGTAGGATCACTTGCACTTACACAAAATTACTGCCAAATTGATTTAACTTTATGTGTTCCTATGGCAGCCAAAACGATTTGATTGTTTTAACTACAACTGCTCAAAACCAGTGAATTTAAATCATTTTTAGAATGTGGAGGACCACATGCTGGATAATGCCATATGTTTATCTTCTCTAAGAAAAGATGAAAAATTTGTCTACTACTGTAACATGCATTTTATATTAAAGATACTGTATGTTTTATATGATGACTACTTTCCCAGAATTATTCTTGGTCCTTGATGACTCACACTCTGCATGACCTGTGCACATTTAAACAAATAGCTTACATACATGACAAATAGTATCACTGTATTTTTCACTGTAGAACTTGTTATTTGTTTTTGTTTTAATTCCAGAATAAAGTGGTTCAGAATAAAAAGGGCAAGTACTTCGCTGGATTCTATGGACACCTTGTAGAAGTAGAGTCAGACTGGCAACATTTAGTATATACATATACCAAAAACTATTCCTATACTCTTAGGTTAGAGTTAGAAGTGAAGAAAACACATGATTTAAATATTAGGTAAATGCTCCCACATTAAAAATCAGCATCCACTAAAATCTGGAAAGTAACTTTAATACCTCATGCTACAAGAATAGATATAGTTCTTTTGTTATTGTTCTCCACAACTGGAAGTGGTATAATAGTATAAATGTGCCAGTGTATTCCTGATAAAAATAGTTAGTTTTCAGTCTACATATTTTTTCAGGATTGTCCGTTCATTTTTCAACAATTCAAAAAAATTGAGGAAGGTATTAAATACGTAAAATTATGTTTTATTTTCACAGTATAGCAGTGACAAATTAAACTCAAATTCCAAGTATTTGTAACACCCCAAAATATAATAAATTTATACAGTCAACTATTCTTAGTTGACATACTACATAATATTGTAGAATTAGAAGTATCTATGGAACTGTAAAACTCTCCTGGTAATTGTAAGTATTGATACAAGTCACAATTGATTCTATGTGTTTCACTAGCTTTCATTCCTTATTTTCCTTCAAGGTTATTTATCCTTCCTGCCATTTCCTTCTGTATATTTTTTCACAGACAAGGAGAAAATCAAGTCTCATTTGAAGAAGTTTCAAATCACCATGGTAACAAAGATTCAGAAAAGAAAAATGTGAAAAACAGAGTGCATGTCACAATGCTTGATGAGATACTTGTGTATGATGACAAGGAGAAGGAGACAAGTCAAGATAACACCAACCAACTCAGTGATGCTACAAAACAGTTTATAAATGGGTTTGTAATAATTCTAAAGGAGAATTTGACAGGTTTTAATTACAAGGCTGAGGTTTACTGGTGTCTTGTTGGTGGAGGCATTATAAGCATGCTAGTTCTTCTGCTTGTAGGTGAGAATGCTCTTTACTAACCTTAAATTTATCAGATAATGTGCATTATTGTGAGACTTGCTTTCATATTAAATAACATCCTTTGCTTTCTGAGAACCTGGTTTTAATTTAAATATTAATTGGAGGTGACCGTGATAAAACCTAACTCACTGAATTAACCAAGAAAGATGGTCTGCATGTGTATGAATACTAAATGATTAGTTCACCCAGGATTTGGTGTATACAGGTTTTACTGTATTTCAGTTTACAATGGTCTGTTGTTAAAGTCTGCAATGTTTGTAATAGACTCCTGTGTGGGAAGCACACAATATCAAAAGCTGTAAATTAATTAATTATGCAAATTAGGTAATTAATACGTACTGATATTACCCTAAAAACTATCAGGTCTATGCAGTGTCCTATGACATCTATGTACCAAGTTTCATTGAAATGTGATGATTAGTACATTGAAATGTGATAATTGACCAATCATTATGCAAATTCGGTAATTAATATGCACGGATTTTTACCCCAAACTAATCAAAACCTAGCATTAGTTCAGAGCATCTATGTACCAAGTTTCATCAAAATCCAATGATTAGATATCAGTGGAACAGTAATGGAACAGCTAAAAATTAGCTAATTATCATGCAAATTAGGCAATTAATATGCACAGATTTTTATCCAAATCTGCGTGTAAGTTCAGAGCATCTATGCACCAAGTTTCATCAAAAACTGATGTATGGTTCTTGAGATATCAGTGGAACAGACAGACACACACACACACACACACACACACACACACACCAAATGCACAGACTCCCATTGTGTGCTCCACACAAGGGAGTCAAAAACCTTAGCGGCCACATAATTCTGCCATCTTTTTCTCCAAAAAACGATAAAAAACACTTTTTAATCTTCTTCAGAATCACTGATCAAAATGCTCTTAAATATAGTATTTAGCATCTATGTATGAAATATATTTAAGTTTGGAAAATTTATTATGATTGGTCACATGATTTGGCCACCATTTTGAATTGCTTCTAAACAGGAAGTAGTTTTTTATGCAATGCAGCAAGTGTTGCATCTCTATATCGTACTCTTTCAGAAAGTTAAAAAAGATTTCAGATCAATCACATGGTTTGGCTGCCATCTTGGATTTTGGGCAAAAGTTTGGGCATTTGTTTCTCAAAGGTGTTTCAATCGATCAATGGGATATGTGGCATTTAACATGTCTGGTCACAGTTTCATATGAGAAAAATAATATAATTTTGATCAGTCATGTGGTTTGTCCACCATCTTGGATTATATGTAAAAATGACTGAAAGTTTGTTTATTATTGGTGCTTCAACCAATCCACTGGATATTTAGTATATAACATGAATAGCCATAGCTTGTTGCACGAAAAATGTTATAAGTTTAATCAGTCACATGGTTTAGCCGCCATCTTGGATTCTATGAAAACAGAAATTGTGCAATTACATGTGTTGTATTGGTTCGATTGGGCTCAAATTTTGTAAGTGCATTCTGCTTTTGAGACACATTCTTTCAACCAAATGGCACATGGCTAGGTCATACGAGTGGGTACCCATTGAGTGGGGGCTTCTAACCTTATTAATATATGCATCATTGTTATATCTCAAGCACTGCTACAGTTAGTAAGATGAAACCTGCATTGTTTAATATCATCATAATAAGATATAAGAGATCTATGTATCTATGTGGTCATATGAACTTATTATTATGCACTGTCATATTTGAAATACTGTTGCGGAATGGTACATGCAACCAGTGCCATAGTGAAGGCATTCAACGAAAGATGTAACTGACAAGAAATTGACATATATGACAATGTAACCTTATTAATATGCATAACACATGGCTCATTACATATTCTGAAATCAATATCTCGATGACCAAACCAGGTAAATACATGGAACCAACTGCATTTAGACCTAATGGTACAGATCATTCAAACTATCCTAATGAAAATCTAGTGACCTCATTAATAATGAAATAGATGTCTGATAGTTTGGGCCCTGCTGACGCTGCTTGTGGCTTTAATTAATTATTCAAGTGGGTACCTTTTGGTTCAACTTGACTTCTGGGGATCCTTTTTGACTTAGGATTCCCATAAAAACTGGTGCTGTTAGAAAGAACACTTCATGTCATGTATAACATGATATATGTCCTTCTATGATCTTACAATACTAACAAGATTCCCACCAGTGTGATTGATTAACTCGTATTCTATATATTGTGTCAAATTCTATATAAAGGCCAGGTTCTTTTTCTGCTAATACTTATATTAGTTATATATATTGCTTCTACTGGTATGATAAAGGTCCTTACTTGTCCACAACTGTTTCAAATCAAATTATCACTACCAGTATATATATATTTACAGTTAAACACAGAAGAAGAAAATCTGAGAAGGTACAAGTCCCGGTACAGGTAAACACATTCTGCTTTGAATTAAGTATCAGCTCCTCAATCTATGGAAAACATAATTTGAATGGCCCAGCCATCATTGTGCTAATAACTTATGTACTTCACTGTTTGCTTTGTAAATATGTATTATCACTCAGTTTGAATTGAAGACTTGCAGGGCTGTATACAACAGAAAATGACAGAACAACCATTCTCATTATCAATGAAGTGCAATTTGGATATTAAAATCTGGTTTAACTACAAGCTGCAATTTACATGGGCACTGAGTGATGGCTAAGCCCCCACTCCCCTGATTCTCTACCCAATATTTAAAGTTATGGACAAAGTGTGAAAAGTTTCAGCTGCTGTGTTGCGATTTCCTAATCCCCGAAAATCATTGCATGGTTAAAGATATGATAAATGATTGTTGTCTACCAAAGTCTTTGTTTCAACACTTGGACATAATAATCATTTTTGTTTTCAGCAGAATATGTCAGAAAAAGAACATATTATTGGTAAAATGGAAAATAGTAGCAAGACGTTTGACCACATAGAAGATGTTTTCTCAGATGAAGAAGGTGAAATATTTATTTTTTGTTCATCACTTTTGAACTGACATACATGTCTC